GTGTGTGTGTGTGTGTGTGTAGTCAGGAAAGGCTGCAGCTGGGAGATTTTTATATCCTTACCTGCAAAGCAGGCAATAACTTGGGAGGGGGGGGGAGAACGTTAAAAGTTAATCGAGGGGCGCATGTAAGAACAGCTGGAAAGAGGGAATGGTGTGTAACGTAAAATAATAAAATAAAATAAGAGAGAAAGGAGCCACGTGGGGTGGGTGGTATTGGTGGGAGGTCTTTTTTCTTTTTCTTCCTGACCCTGGAGGAAAACCAAGGGGAGGGGGCTGAGTTGTGGCTACTTTCCTCCCCCCCCACCCCCCACTCACACATGTGTTAAAAAGGAAATTTATGCTTCCTGAAGTCTGCCGCCTTTGGGAATTGGAAGCAGGAGGGGAGGAGGAAACGCCCTTGACATGCCCAGAGGCGGCCTTGTTTCACCGTGTAATTTCCTTCTTGAGCAGACAGCAAATATCCTTCCTTGAAGGGCCTTCCAGGGGTCAAGATGGCTTTGCAGCATCTCTCAAAGCGAGGATGGTTTTTGGATTTTTATCGGGGGGGGGGGGGGGGGGGGGGTTTGGAAAAAAAAAAAAAACCCTCCAGTCGGGGTGGCTTTCCAGCAGTCTTTGGAGGTAGTCCTTGACTTATGACCGCAGTTGGGACCAGAAATCATGTTGCTAAGCAAGACGGTGGTTTAAATGAGTCGTGCTTAGTTTTATATCCTGTGAGGTGCTTTTTTTTTTTTGCCTTGGTTGTTCAGCAAATCGGTGCGGTTGTTAAATGAATTGGGCAGTCGTTAAGCGAACCCGGCTTCCCCTTCCCTTGACTTTGCTTATGGGAAGGTCTCAAGTGGCAATCACGTGACTTCAGGATGCTGCATGGTCGTAAGTGCAAGGACTGGCCATAATCCGTATTATTCAGTCCTGTTTAGTTAGTGAACGGATGGTTGTAAGTCGAGGACTACCTGTGATTGTTCTAGGCCTCAGTGGACACAATTTAGGTTACTGAAGGCCAGGGCTTGTAATATTTTGGGGCCTGTGGATCTTATTTTCTTTTGGTTGTTTTATTGCTTTAAAAAAAAAATAGAACATGTTTTAGCGATTTAAAGTGCATTTTCCCCCCACCATGGCTTTCTTATTGCTATCCTAAATCAGGATTTAAGCCATGATTGCAAAGAAGAGAATGCAATGGATAAACCAGAGTCAAATGGAACTTGGTTAGAAGTGTAGAAGGGCTTGCTATAAACCGTGATGGACCCCTACTTTGAAAAGGAGAAGAGAAATGAATGGCAGGTTTTCTGAGGTGCTAGTCCTCATGAATCTCTTGTTATCCTCACAAACAAAAGGATGACACTGATCACCAGTACATGACTTGCGGGTTCCTTTTATTTCTTATTTATTTATTCTCCGCCTGTCTTGCTTTGAGGCAGCTATGTGGTGTAAAATAAATTAGGTGTAAAAAGAAATAGGTGCTGATAGGCAACCCTGTTCAGTCCGATAACGGTGCATTTTATGACTGCTGGAATAACTTAGTGCGTGGCTCATTTTGAAAACCTGGTCAGCCATTTCTAGACTGCTAAGGCTTTTTTGCTTATAGGTTTGTACTTAAAATGTGTTAAAGTTCAGTGTTTCTCAACCTTGGCAAGTTTTAAAGACATGTGGACTTCAACTGACAGAATTGCCTCAGCCAGCATGGTGACTGGGGGAATTCTGGGAGTTGTAGTTCACCCATCTTAACATGGCTGAGATGCTCATAATTTCTGACTTGGGACCAGGATAAGATAACGGATGTTTCCAATTTAACCATGTAACCGTCTTGTTCTCCTTAGGTTACCCCCAGAACGTGGTTTCCCCAAAACCAGACAAGTAGTGACCTTCCGAAAATCACAAACCTATGGTTGATTTACAAGGATGTTCTCCCAAAATCGGCCCCCGGTAAGTTATCTCTGTTTTTTTTTAAAAAAAAAAATCCCTTCTACCTCCAATCTTTAGGTTTCCAACTCCCATCAAAAAAAAAAAAAAATTAAAAATATACTTTCCTTTAAGTCGATTTAATTCTTATCCAAATGTCAGTGTTTCAGTGATGGGCGTGTTTCAGATTCTTGGGATCATTTTTTGAAATTGTTTATTTAATTCATGTCCCTCCTTTATTACTTTTTTTTTTTCTTAAAAATAACTCCAGCCAGCGAATATCTCTAATATTCTTTCCTCCTCCTGTTTTCCTCAGAGCGATAACAGGTGGGACAGGCTGAGACAGAGGGACTGGCCCCAAATCATCCAGCTGGCTTTCAGGGCTAAGGTGGGACTAGAACTCACATCTGCTGATTTCAGGGTTAAAGTGGGACTAGAACTCACATCTGGTGATTTGGGACTAGAACTCCCATTGCCTGGTGATTTCAGAGCTAAAGTGGGACTAGAACTCACATCTGGTGATTTCAGGGTTAAAGTGGGACTAGAACTCACATCTGGTGATTTCAGAGCTGAAGTAGGACTAGAATTCACATCTTCTGGTGATTTCAGGAGTAAGGTGGGACTAGAATTCACATCTGCTGCTGATTTCAGAGCTGAAGTAGGACTAGAACTCACATCTGCTGATTTCAGAGCTGAAGTAGGACTAGAACTCACATCTTCTGGTGATTTCAGGGCTAAAGTGGGACTAGAACTCACATCTGCTGCCGATTTCACAGCTGAAGTGGGACTAGAACTCACATTTCCTGGTACTGACTCAAAGTCATCCAAGCCTCATTCATGCCTAAGGAGGGATTAGAATTCACCTCTCCTGGTGATTGGCCCAAAGTCATCCCACTGATTTTTGATGGCGAAGGATGTGGTTTTAATGGGTGTGGGGAAGGGAAGGAGATCAAAATTTAACTGATGACCTTATTTAGACAGGAAAAATAAGCCTTTCGTGAAGACTTGTCCTTCTGAAATACAGGTAGTCCTTACAACAGTTCATTTAGTGACCGTTCAAAGTCACAACGGCCCTGAACAAAGTGACTTATGGCCGTTTTTCACGTGTACGACTATTGGCAGCATCCCCATGGTCACATGGTCCAAATTCTGGGCGCTTGGTAACTGACGCATACTTACGACGGTTGCGGTGTCCCTGGGTCATGTGATCCCATTTTGCGACCATCTGACGAGTCTGGGGAAGCCAGATTTGCTTCACAACCCTTTTACTGCAGTAATTTAACAACGGTAGTGATTCAACTTAACACACTACAGCAAGAAAGGTCATTAAATGGGGAAAATTTCACCTAACAAATGTTTCACTTAGCAACATGAATGTTGGGCTCAATTGTGGTTGTAAGTTGAGGACTACCTGCAGTTTGCGTTGATTGATGATTGATTGATTATGTGAATTGAGTTAGGGTTGACCCAGAGCGACCACATATACCAGGGGTCCCCAAACTTGGCAGCTTTAAGACTTGTAGACTTCAACTCCCAGAATTCCTCAACCAAGTATAGCTGGCTGAGGAATTCTGGGAATTGAAGTCCACAAGTCTTAAAGTTGCCAAGTTTAGACAGATAAACTTCATGAAGACCTGTGCCCAAATCTGGTCCTAAACTAGGGCAGAATTCACTTAGCAAGAGCAGACATATACTGCTTCACAGTGCTTTTAAAGCCCTTTCTAAGCAGTTTACATAGTCAGCCTCTTACCCCCAAAAATTTGGACAAAAAAGTCCTCATTTTACCCACCTCAGAAGTATGGAAGGCTGAATCAACCTTGGAACTTTTAGCAAATGTTTCAGTTAGTAACAGAAACTTTGGGCCCAACTGTGGGTATAAGTTGAGGACTACCTCTATTATATACCTTGTTGAGTAAACATTTCTAGTGAGCAAACTCCAATGCTTGAAAATTCTTTTCTGGGACTTGTTAAGAAAAAGACCAAAATGGCAATTGTTTAACTGGCCGGGATGAACTCAGTACATTTGGTGGCGCTTGGTGTGTGGGAAATCACCTCTAAGCTGATTGGAACTTCAAAATTAAAAATACCTTTTGCATCGATTTGAATGCTGCAGAATGGCCTAAGACACCGAGAGCAGCAGGGGTCTCCAACCTTGACAACTTTAAGATTTGTGGACTTCAACTCCCAAATTCCTGAGCTAACATGACTGGAGGAGGAATTCTGGGAGTTGAAGTCCACGAGTCTTAAAGTTGTCAAGGTTTGAGACCCCTGAATCAAAGCATGTCTGTGTTTGTAAAAGTTTTCCTCCAAGCAACTCTTTTCATCCAGGGGTGTCAAACCGCGGCAATTTTTTTTTTAAAGCCTTGTGAATTTCAACTCTTAGAATTCTCCATCATTGTTACGTGAATCCAGGTCATTAAGCGAACCCATTGTTTGCAACAGGCCAATTCGCAGAAAAATTGCATACGATACTCATTTAACGATCATAAAGGTTCCCCTCGCACATCCGTGCTAGTCGTTTCCGGCTCTAGCGGGTGGTGCTCATCTCTGTTACAAAGCCGAAGAGGCAACGCTGTCCAAAAACGTCTCTGTGGTCATGTGGCGGCATGGCTAAACGCCAAAGCCGCACGGAACGCTGTTCCCTTCCCACCAAAGGGGTCCCTATTTTCCTACTTGCATTTTTACTATGGTTTCGAACGGCCAGGTTGGCAGAAGCTGGGACAAGGGAGCTCACTCCGTGACACGGCGCTAGGGATTCGAACCGCTGAACTGCTGAAAAGCGTCTTAGCCATTGAGCCACCATGTCCCTTAACAGTCATTGTACAACCAGACAAATTGTTGAGCTTTTATTGCGGTGGTCGTTAAGCGAATCACTGTAGGGAAAGAGGGAGGGGGAAATGGGGAGGCAGGCCTCTTTCCAAAGGGAACAACCCCATGGGACGGGAACGAGGGCCGGCGCATGATGCTTGCTCTGTCGTGAGTTTTGCCCACTCTCTCTCTTTCTCCCTCCCAGGCTCACCTACAGACACCGCCTGTGGCCACCGCAGCTGTTGCCGCCGCCGCTGCCGCCAGTGTCGTATCAACTGCTCCCCAATCTTTGAAACTCACCTACCCCGAGATACTGGACCGGATCAAAGAGGAATTCCAGTTTTTGCAGAACCAGTACCACAGGTAAAAAAAAGGACGTTCATTTTCCCAGGGGGATGTCGAGCTGGGTGGACCGCATGGCTTCTTCCTATAATCCTGGTGAACATTTGCATGCGTGTGTGTGTGTGTTTGTGTACATACCAAAGCCAGCTTTTCAATCCCCGTTTTAATCCTCGCAGCTGCCGTGAAGTGTTTGGATAATTTTTGCCTCTCTGCGTAAGGAGCCTTTTGCAACCCCAAGAGCCTGTAGCCTCCCTTTATGCAGGCAGTCCTCGACTTAATGACCACAATTGGCCCCCAAATCTCAGTTGCTAAAAGCAAGGCGGTTGCTAAGAGGATTTGGCCCATTTTATGACCTTTCTTGCCACAATTGTTGAGTGAGTTGCTGCGGTTGTTAAGTTAGGAATTTAAGTGGCCCTGTTTCCCCCTCAAAATATGACCTACTCTGAAAGTAAGTCCTAGCTTGTTTTTTTTACACGTGTGCCCAATATAAGCCCCACCCCCAAAATAAGCCCTAATTAAGATCCTGCCCACTCCAGAGTGCACGGGTGAAAATTAAGCTAGGGTAGGGATTGGAGGATGGGTGCAGCCACCCTACTACTTACTTTTGGACAGTTGTAGCTAGGCCTGGCACACCCGACGCCTGCCTGGCTGGCCCATTTCTTCTGCAGCTGGCAAGGCTTTCCTGAAGGCCTCTGGAGCTGATAACAAAGCTCTGGATCGATCCGGAGCTCTGTTATCTGCTACAGAGGACTTCAGGAAAACCTTGCTGGCCTCTCAGAAGTTCCTGAAGGCCTCTGACCACGAAAAGGAGGCTGAGGGTGACGCCCGCAAGTGACGTTAGTTCCCCCGAAAATAAGACCTGGTGCCTTTTTGGTGGCAAAAAAGTATAAGACAAGGTCTTATTTTGGGGGGTAGTAACTAAGTTAAGTTAGTAACTTAACAACTGGTTGTTAATTGAAATCCGGCTTCCCCATTTTTTTTTGGCTTGTCAGGAAGTCGCAAAAAGGGATGCTGCAGCTGTCATAAACACGAGTCAGTTGCCAAGTGTCTGAATTTTGATCCCATGACCGTGGGGATGCTGCGACGGTCGTAAGAGTGAAAAATGGTCCCAAGCCACTTTTTTTCAGGGTCGTCACAACTTTGAACGGTCATTAAATGAACTGTTGCAAGTCAAGGGCTACCTATACACTTCGGGGCAGGGGTCTCCAACCTTGGCAACTTTTAAGACTTGTGGACATCTGGGAAATTGCCAAGGTTGGAGACCCCTGCTTTACAGAGTCGGCCTGTTGTCCGCAAGAATCTGGGTCCTCGCTTACCCCCCTCGGAAGGCTGAGTCAACCTTGAGCCTGGCGAGATTTGAACTGTCCAGTTGCAGGCAGCCGGCAGGCCACAGAAGTAGTCCTGCAGTACTGCACTCTAACCACTGCGCCGGAGAGGACCCAAATCAAATCAAAATCCCCGGGAAGACCTGTGTTGACTTATATTATGTGGCTTTGCGGACCGGGGTGGTGGTGGGAGGAAACGGGAATGGTTCCATGCATGCGGCGTACGTGCACAGCTCCATTTGCGTAACGGGCGGGCATGCGTGCAAATGGAGCCTTGTACACCTGCTGCTCGTTCAAAGGGAGCTGCAAGCGTGCTCAACGACCGCTTCCACAGCCCAGTTCCAAAGGCGCCACGGCCCGGTAGTCGGCCACAGCCTGGGAAGGGGGCGGGGTGGTTAGGGATCCCTGATTTAATTCATTGATTTATTAATTGTATATGCCATCCATCTCGCCACTGGAGCAACTCTGGGCCGCTTACAAGAGAGGTTGAAATGATAAATACCAAACCAATTAGGCTGAATAAGAATGACAGTGAGAGTTTAGCCATAGGGCCTTGATTCCAGAGGCGGGTATTCAGCAGGTTCTGACCAGTTCTGGAGAACCGGGAGCGGAAATTTTGAGTAGTTCTGGAGACCCGGCCAATCCCACCTCTGACTGGCCCCGCCAACCCCATCTCTTCTCTGCCTCCCATTGAGTCCCAGCTGATCGGCTGGGTCTCCTTTGGTTGCCCTGCACAGGAGAACGGAGCTGGAAAGCAGGTTAGTGGGGTGGGGAGGGAAGGGGGATTTTACATTATCCTTCCCCTGCCACGCCCACCAAGCCACGCCACGCCCATCAAGCCAAGCCCACAGAACCGGTATTAAAAAAAAATTTCAATCCCCACCATTGGCCAGGCCTTTTTTGTTTTTAAGCTGTTCAAGTTTCTAAGACTCATGACTGCGCATGGTGCGTGAGGTCTCTGGACAGCGCGAGGAGGGTAGCGAAAATGGGACCCAGGGGGAGGGCTTGCAGCGGTGGTGCAATCTTGCTGGCGAACTCTACCGACTGCCACCAGTTCGATTCTCACCAGGGTCAAGGTTGTCTCAGCCTTCCCTCCTTCCGGGGGTGTCGGTCAAATGGAGGACCCATATTGTTGGCTGACTCTGTAAACTGCTTAGGGCTATAAAAAAAAAGCCCTGGGAAAGTGGTGTGTAAGTCTGTAAGCGCCGTCGCTATTGCTTCAACCAAAGCAGATTTCGGGGGAAAGCACCCCGCTTTTTGCTGAAGCTGTGAATAGATTATGCAAACGAGACAGGGGGCTAGAATACATTATGCAAATGGCGGGTCTGTATTTGCATGATTTATACAGGGAAACCGCATCGAAGGTTTTCTTCCCTGGGAAAAATGGTATCTTTGATCAGCACGGTCATTTGGGGTTTTCTAAAAGGAAAAGGCAACTTTAGCAGGAATGAGGTCCATGGTTAGGCTGGGGTTGTATGAACTGGGCCTTCTAGCAGGGTGTCAACCCTGAAGCTGACCTGCCCGAAGCCACCTTGATGATCCATTGTTGACGCACTGGAGCTGACGGATAGGGAGGTGGGGATTAGAGATAGCTGCGGTTTTTGTAGCCATAACAAAATACTTTCTCTTGGGAACCACACCTGGCATTCTCACACACCTGGCCAGAGGAAGGAGGAGTGATGTCCCCAGGCAACCAGGCAACGCCGTGATTGGACCGATGGTTTGGGGTTGAGGGAAAAACTTTTAATTAGGTGAAACCCGCGGGATTCGGGTTTTAGGCAGGTCTGTGCCAATAGTTTTTGTGGAAATAGTGGAAGTTTTTAAGAGGAGATTGGATAACCATTGGTCTGAAGTGGTGTAGGGTTTCCTGCCTAAGCAGGGGGTTGGACTAGAAGACCTCCAAGGTCCCTTCCAACACCTATTCTATTGTTGTTCATTTCATTTCTATTCTATTCTATTCTATTTTTTACTCTGTTCTATTATTTTCAATTCTATTATTTTCTATTTTATTCTATTTTCTATTCCATATTCTATTCCATTCCATTCTATTCTATTCTCTTTTCTATTCCATTTTTTATTCTGTTCTATTATTTTCTTTTCTATTTTCTATTCCATATTCTATCCCATTCCATTTTCTATTTCCTACTCTATTCGCTATTCCATTCTATTTGTTTGTTCTGTTCTATTATTTTCTATTCTATTTGCTACTTCTTATTCCATTCCATTCTTCTGATATAGCCAATAAAGCTATTCTTTGAGGAATCCACTGGCCTCGGAGTTTTTGCTTGCTATGGGTCTATTGCTTGACACAGGGCCCGAAACCACGTTTTTTCTGCGGGAAAACCCTCTCTCCACCGAACCGGTCCCTGGTGCCCCAAAGGTTGGGGTTGGAGTCTCTCTCTGGCCCAGAGGGTCATCCAAACGCCTCTGCTTCTTCGGAGGAGGTCGGAGCTGATGCAAATCAGCGGTCTTCCTTTTGTCTTCACAGCTTGAAGCTAGAGTGCGAGAAACTGGCCACGGAGAAGACAGAAATTCAGCGGCATTATGTCATGGTGAGCGGCTTTTATGATGCCTGATTGAATGCTTTCCAGGAAAAGGGGTGGTTGGAGGCCTCACTCTTGCCTCTTCGTTGGCCTGTAGTCAAGGATGATGGGAGCTGTAGTGGAAAGCAATCACCTGGGTAGGGAGTGGGCAGGTTTCACTCTCTGCTCTGGGTATACTTTCCTGTTTTGGGGGGGCGGGTACAAGGGCTACATTTTTCCAGCCGAAGAAATCGTCCTCTACTTACAACCACAATTGAGCCCCAGATTTCTGTGGCTAAGGAAGACAACTTCTTTTATGTGAGTTTTCCCCCATTTTATGACCTTACTGGTGCACACAGGCGCTAAGGGAATCTCTGCAGTTTTTAAGTTAAGTTGTTAAGTGACTCTGGCTTCCTGTTGGCTTGTCGGAAGGTCTCCAAAGGGGAAATCACATGACCTTTGGGACACTGCAACAGTCATAAGTACGAGTCAGTTGACAAGCATCTGAATGTAAATCATGTTACCATGGGGGGTGCTGCAATGCCATAAGGTGGGGGGGTGGTTGTGGAAGGGGGTAGGAGGAAGGGAAAATGCCATTGCAGTATATCTGCCTGGATTCCAGTAGAATAGAATAGAATAGAATAGAATAGAATAGAATAGAATAGAATAGAACAGCACAGCACAGCACAGCACAGCATAGCATAGCATAGCATAGCATAGCATAGCATAGCATAGCATAGCATAGCATAAAAAATAATTAGAATAGAATAGAATAGAATAGAATAGAATAGAATAGAATAGAATAGAGAATAGAAAATAGAATAGAAAATAGAATAGAAAAGTTAGGAAGTTTCTCCTTAATTCCAGGTTGCTTAAAACTTAGGAAGTTTCAACTTAATTTAACAAATTAATTTAACAATTTAACAACTTTTATTGTTTTCCTTAAAACTTAGGAAGTTTCTCCTTAATTCCAGGTTGCTTCTCTAATAGAATAGAATAGAATAGAATAGAATAGAATAGAATAGAATAGAAGAGTTGGATGGGACCTTGGAGGTCTTCTAGTCTAACCCCTGGGGCTGTGGTGGCAAACCTATGGCATGTGTGCCAGAGGTGGCACACAAAGCCCTCTGTGGGCATGCACGCCATTGCCAGCTGATTTCCGGTGCACACATGCGAGCCAGCCAGCTGATATTTGCGGGTGCCGAAGTGCCGGAAACGACCTGAAAAACGTCCAAAAAACAGGCCATTTTTCAGATCGTTTTAGGGCCTATTTGGCCTGAAAAACTGCCCAAAGGTGGCCTGAAAACAATCCAAAAACCAGCCCGAATAATGCCCCCCAAAACAGTCCATATTTTGGGCTGCTTTCAGGCCAAAAATGGCCCCCAAACACCCCTAAAACAGGCAGGTGCACTCCAGCCAGTTGGTCTTTGGGTTTCCGGCACTCTGGCATGCACCTGCATTCCTGTTTGGGCGCTCAGTGCCGAAAAGGTTCGCCATCACCACCCTAGGGTACCAAACTGGCCTCTTGTCTTTTCAAAATCTTTTTTAGAAATTCCACGGCTAACCTTGGCTTGCTTTTTGTCTTCCAGTATTATGAAATGTCCTACGGGTTGAACATCGAAATGCACAAACAGGTAAGCAGACACGCGTGTCGGGAGACCGGCGTCGGGAACCTTATCTTACTGCTAGTCCTTGACTTAACGACCACAATTGGAACCATAAATTCGAACTGATGCCGTGTTTTGAGTTTACCACCTTTTTGGCCACAGCTGCTAATGGAATCCGTACCGTTGTTAAGGGAATCATGGGAGTCGTTAAGTGAAGCCAGCTCCTCCCCGCCCCCCCAATTGACTTTATTTGTCAGAACCTGCCCGGAAGGGTGCAAACCCAACTCCCTAAAAATCATCAATACAAGGAGAGTCCTCGACTTACAACAGTTCATTTAGTGACCAAAGTTGTAACAGCCCTGAAAAAAGTGACTTATGACCATTTATCACGCCTATGACCATTGCAGGCATCCCTATAGCCGTGTGATTTACATTGGGATGCTTAACAATTGACTCCCGTTTAGGACAGCTGCAGTGTCCCAGAGTTACGTCAGTCCCCTTTTTGCGACCTTCTGACAAGCAAAGTCAAGGGGGAAGCCAGATTCACTTAACGACCAGGTTTCTAACTTCCATGCCAAGAGCCCCAATTTTGATCACGTGGCCTCCCGGGATGCTGTGACGGGTCGTCAGGGCGAGGACCTGTGTCGTAAATCCCTTTTTCAGAGCCCTTGTAACTTCAGACAGTCGTCAAATGAACAGTTGTAAGTTGAGGACTGCCTCTATTTGTCAACTCATAATATATTTCTACGGTCTTTTTAAAATTGCCAATGCAAAGGGGTTCGAAAGAGCAGTGCGGCAGTTTGGAAATCAAAAGTGCATTCCATAAATAGTTTTTCAAAGATAGTAACTAGGTGACTGAAGTTTCTGCCGAGGCAAAATTCTAACTGGAGAGCATGATTGGATGACTCTGGGCTATGGAGGTGTCCCATTGGAGGATATATGAATTATGATACACTCACTGCGGAGGGAAAACTAGGGTCAAGGGTGACAATGAATGAGGTGTCTCAGAGTCGGCTACACCCAGGCAGTGCCGGACATGTGAACTCCCAATAAATCCTTTTTGAGTTTTGGAAGTTTGGCTCGAGACTCACGATTGAATTAGGAGTAACTGCCGGAATCCCGACGCTATTCTTTTGTTATTTTATTTTCAAGATGGGGGGGTGTTTTAATTCCGAACCGAGAGCCTCCGAGAACTGACCCGATGGGAATTTTCATCCTGAATCTGTTTTTCTCCCCCTTTTTTTCCCCCTTTATTTGCTGCAGTTTAACCTTTTAAAGGTTTGCATTGGGGGCTTCGTGCCACGGCTTAGCAGCTCGGTTTAGATTAATCCTCTCGCCAGTCCGTCAAAAATCATCTTCCCCCACCTCCCTCCGAAATAGGACAGTTTCCAAGGAGCAGAGAAAGGGCATTTAGCCCCCCCCCCCCCCCCCCCTCCTGTTTGTGATAAGGAAGAGGTTTTGACCGCGTTTGCCTTCCAAATCTGAACCAGCCTCTGGTATTGGGTGCCAATTGCCCCCCCTGCAGAGATGAGGAGGGGGGCTTTGAACTTCTCCAGCCTCTTTTGCAGGCTTCTCTCTTCCCCATCTCCCTTCCTTCCCTTCCCAGCTTGGAATCTGCCCAGACAGATGATCCCCAGAATAACAGAGTTGGAAGGGACCTTGGAGGTCTTCTAGTCCAACCCCCTGCTCAAGCCTATATCCCTATATCATTTCAAGCCAGTCGTCGTCCCATCTCTTCTTAAGAGCCTCCAGTGATGGAACAGCCACGACTTCTGGAGGATTAGTTGTTTCGCGGATAAACTCTTCTCACTTTCAGGACATATCGCCTAGGTTTCTTTTCTCCTAGACTAGGGTAGAATGTAGAATAGATCTGGAAGGGACCTTGGAGGTCTTCTAGTCCAACCCCCCCGCCCAAGCAGGAGACCCTACACCACTTCTGACAGATGGCAGTCCAGTCTCTTCTTGAAAGCCTCCAGTGATGAAGCTCCCACAACTTCCAAAGGCAACTTCTGTTCCATGGGTTGATTGTTCTCACTGTCAGAAAATTTCTCCTTATTTCCAGGTTGAATCTCTCCTTGTTCAGTTTCCATCCATTATTCCTTCTCCGGCCTTTGTGTGCTTTGGAAAATAGCTTGACTCCCCTTCCTCCTCTCTGTGGCAGCCCTTCAAATATTGGAAGACTTCTATCATGTCACTCCTAGTTTCTTCTTTTCATTAAACTAGACCATTGATGGCGAACCTTTTTGTTGTGGTGTGCCGAAAGCATGCGCATGCCAGCACCCACAATGCAATGCGCACCCCCCGTGCATGCGTGTGTAACATCCCAGCCCCACCCCCTTCCCAGCACTGTGCATGTGTGTGCCTTCCAGCCAATTTTTGGCCTGTTTGAGGCCGTTTTCACCCTTCTGGGGGCTCGAGGGAAGCCTCTGCAGTCTCGGGAGGCCGTAAAATGGGCCCATTTCAGCACTTTCAGTATTTCCGGAAGGCCCGTTTTTCGGCCTCCTGAGACTGCAGAGGCTTCCCTCGAGCCCCCGGGAAGGTGAAAACGGCCTCAAATGGGCCGAAAATCAGCTGGGAGGCACAGGCATGTGCAGTGCAGGTAAGTTTGGCTGGGGCTTGCGCAGGGGTGGGATTCAAATTTTTTAACAACCGGTTCTGTGGGTGCGGCTTAGGTGGTAGGCGTGGCTTGGTGGTCATGTGACTGGGTGGATGTGGCTTGGTGGTCATGTTATTGGCTGGGCATGGCCAACTCAACATCACTCACATTGAGGCACGCATCTCCTCGCCTGGCCTCTCATGACTGTGGGGATGCTGCAACAGTCGTAAGCGTGAAAAATGGTCATAAGTCACTTTCTCCAGTGCCATTGTAACTTTGAATGGTCACTCCACACAAGCAAAGTACCAGCAAAGGAGGGGAAAAAAACTCCAGAGACGTTCCTGAGACAGGAAGTCTAGTCCTGCCAAGAATGTAGTAAGGGTTAATGGAGAGGCAGTTTCCGTAAGCAACACCAGAATGTTTCCTTCCTGCCTTCCTTACAGGATTAGCCCAGTAATTTCTTCTAACAACCGGTTCTCCAAACTGCTTAGAGTGTTAACGACCAGTTCTAGCGAATAGGTACGAAGTGGTAGAATCCCACCCTGGGCTCACATGCCCGCCCAAATGGCTTGTGCCTGCACAAGTGCCATAGGTTCGCCATCAGGGAACTAGACCCACCCGGTTCCTGCAACCGTTCTTCCTATATTTTGGTCTCCAGTCCCCTAATCATCTCTGTTGCTCTTCTCTGCAGTCTTTCCGTCTTTTTTTTTTTTTTGTAGCGGGGCGACCCAAACTGGATTCCAAGTGTAGTCTTTATAAAGCAGCATTAACACTTCATGGGATCTTGACTCCCGGGCTCAGCGACTAGGAGGGACCGTGCAGCCGTGTTCCCATATGGGTGAGGGATTCCCACAGAGAAGAGGAGCGAGTCAGCCAGTCCTCCATCGAAAGCCCCCCCAAAGGCTAAAGCGATATTAAAACCCGATGTTCCGTATCCCCGTCCTCTCCTTGCCGTGTCGTGTGCTGTTGCATGGCAGGATTTACAACCTATCTTCAGGTGCTGCTGGCCTGGCCGGTTGCCAGAAAGCTGTCATGGCTTCCCCACCCCCCTCCCCGCTTCTCCCCACTCCCCCGGTTTTATTTTAAGGAGAAACTCATAAGTCTGAGCCGCGACAGCCTCCGGGTGATAAATGGGAGCCGGCCAGATGTATAAGCTTTGTGGTTATCTGGCCAACCCCTGGATCCCTTCTCCTCTTTCTCGGTTGGGGACCCCTCCTCTCTCTCTCTCTCTCCCCAAAGGCTGGCGCCTCCCCTTCGATTAGATTTGCCCAGCAGGTGTCCTTTTAATGTGATTCAAGCCCCCTCCCCAGCCCAATCTCACCCCCTCCCTCCCTTTCCCTCATCACCCGCTTTATTGCCAACATATAAAAGGTCACACCATTCAGTTTGATCCCGGACGAAGCCTCCCCTTATAATAAGCTGCTCGGTGGTCAGGTCGGTGGTGATGTGGGTTTTTCTGATCCCTCCCTTTCTATTTTCTTTCTTTCTTTCTATTTTTTGTGGGGGGGGAATTATTTTTCCAAAAGGCTCTGCCTGCCTGGGGGGGTGGGGAACAGTGCTTAAGGATGTGCGTAGGCAGGAAAACAGCTTGCCAAAAAATATAAAGAGAGACAGTGAGAGAGAGAGAGAGTCACAGAGAGAGAGAGATGGAGAGAGAGTCACAGAGAGAGAGAGAGAGGGAGAGACCAAGAGAGCGAAACAGAGAGAGATAGTGAGAGAGAGACAGCGAGAGAGATACCAAGGGGGAGAGAGAGACAGAGAGAGAGAGAGAGA